TTTTTTTTACTCACATACTAACCTCACAGCAGAAGGCTGATCATGTGAAAAAAATGGGAAAATCATTTACACTGCGGGAGCACTAGAAAGCAATTTCTTGGAGAACTTGAAGGGTTTTCTGATGAACCTGTAAACATAAAGAATGCTCCAAGTTAACTATTCTTGTAGCATAAAAGAAAAGAGAGCTCCAATATAGAAGACACCTTACCCATTCTAGATGTTGAGCTGTAATCCCAGAGACATTTCCAGCATAGATGCCACCCAGTACCTAACGCGTTCAAGGTGAATTAACTAAGAAAAGCATTTCTAGAGGATATTCAATGAATTTAGATTTATATAGGAACAAGAGATTGAAATCAGAACCTTTGAAACAGCTTCAAGAAACATGCCTGGACGTACAGGAAGTGGTTTACGCCCTGTGACACTAGCCTGTAAATAATAGTGAGTTACAATGTGAGTACTTTTCCAATAAACACCATAATAGTGAAAAACATTCTTCATTAGTGGCACTCACTCTTCCAGCAATTCCACCTGATATACTTTGCCCACTAGCAGCATCTTCCTCATCACTACTTGAGCTGTCTGCACCTTCATCTTTTCCTAGCATCACATTTTTTATCATCTCTTGGACAGTTTTACCAGGTTTCAAAGCAACTAACTTTGTCAAAAAGTTCACCTTGGTTGGTCAAAGAAATTATATTAATTGCAGTATATATATATTGTATATAAGAAACGAACAATATAGAAAAAGAGTCTAGGCTCAGCATGTTGTGTATGCATAAAACATGTTGGGCAGGCATTCAATGCTGCAAATTCCACAATATGAAATGGCCGAAGATGGTTTGATAACAGTTGCAGTATATATGAAATGGACAGTTTTATGATTCACATCAGTTATCTACAGTCCAGCATAGTTTCCTTACTTCCAAATATATCCAAAGATAACAGATTGATAAAAAACATTAAATATCAGAGAGTGTGCCCACCCCTAATTGGGTGGCTAGGAATATGTCTACTGTAGGTGTGTGCGTGTGTGTGACTGACGATCCCTTTGATATAGGTGGTTTGGACATCTTTCAATAAGCTTTGGATTTCAAAGTGGCTGGTTCCCAAAATGAAATTATGGATCTCCAATCTGATGAAAAAAAATTAGAAACATAAAGATATGCATACCTCGGCCTCAGGAAGAGTACTAAATCCACGGTCATTTCTTTCATCCAATATTCCACCTCCCATCATATTTCTCGCTTCCTCTCTGATCAAGACAAGTCTCGCAAGTAGCTTTCGATCAGGAACAACAGGCCTAGACTCCATTGTCTACAATAACACTGATCCACATAAGATAATATGTACATAAAACATATATATAGTATCGGGTTTTACGTTAATGCATTCAATAACTATATCTATGTGGATGATGACAAATCATATAAATAAGTTTTCATTTTGTCCAGGTTATTAGGCAATTCATCTCCAATCTAATATGCAAAGCACAAATTATATCACATGTAAATAAAGCAAACATTAACAAAGTTGTACCCAGTTTTCTCATACTCTAACAGGGGAATTGTCAAATTAATATCAGCCGTACCTCTAGCTAAGATAAATGAGGATATTCTTTTTCGGCCTAGGGTCAAATAGGTTGTTGTGGTTTGATAAGAAGTTTAAAGGCGAAAAAAAATATATAGAGGCAATACTTATGAGTGTCTACTAGTAAATTTTCATAGTGAGTACGTACAATGTTCCACATAAAACACATTTCATAAGTCATATTCCAAACTTTCAGGTATCTACCTCGAGTAAATCATCGGCCTGATTTGCTATTTCATTCAAATTTGCTGCAGGAAGTTGAACTTTTGTTCCTTTTTCACTTCCAAATACACCTCCTCCTGCAGCCACCCGACGTAGTAACTCATGTCTGCTTTCCTTTTCGGGAGTTCGACAGAGCAAACCAATCACTTGGACCTACAGATCAGATATCAAAACAAAATTATCATTTATGCAATACATGGTAATGGGCGAAATTTTTTGATACATCTCTAGCACTAGAAAAAAAAAATCAAACAACTAGAAGCCTACATGTGGCGGACACTTCTTCGTAAGATGAGATAACACTGTCTGTTTGATCACCTCCAACAACGACTTCCGCTGGATGTATAAAAAAAAAAGACAATATCAGCTGAACGAATTGACAAACATGTTCCATCTAAGACAGTTTTCTCCATTAACTATATACTTCTCTTAAACATCAAAATGAGATATCAAATTCAGTACCTGATCATCATTGTCCTTCTCAGCAAGTTGGATCATGTAATCGAGAGCCATCATAAACCCAGGTTCCATCTCATCAACTCTCTTTCCAATGACACCTTGTGCAGCTATTTCCACTGCCACCTCCTCAGATGCTTCATTCATATCCATATCCTCCAACTACCACAATTTACTATTATCAACATAATTATACTCCAAACAGTATAAGGTCAACCATAAATCTCAGCATGAAAAAGAATGGATTTTTTCGAAGTTTTGAGAATATCACATATGAGAACTAGTAATGAAGTTTGCATAGTATGGGCATGCTGGTAATATGAAAATTACATTACAAAGATTGAATATTTACGACATACTTGGGGCAAATTGAGTACTTATAAAGTGTAGATAAGGTGTTTGTTAATAAGCTTAAGAGAGAGAGAG